AAGTCTGAATCGGTTTTAACCGGTCTGAACCTGTTTCAACTGGTCTGAACTAGCTTAAACAGCTTTACCGCCCTTTCTTCTGTGGTTCTTTGTTTTAACTTAAATAAAATATTATTTCCTAAATATAGATAAATAAATATTGATAGTGATACAAAAGCAATAAATTTATTGAGCTTGCATCCCAATGTTAGCATGTCGATATTTATTCTTTATGTCTTTGATGCTTCAGCTCAGTGTTCAATGGACCGGTTGTTTATAAAATAACTTTCTACATTGACTACAGTGTTTTGTGAGTATTTTTTAAAAAGTACATCATGCTTCAACATTAGGATTTATTGTTGCTTGATGGATGGATCACCTGCTAAAGTCACAATTTCCACTTTGGAAAGTTAAAGGTTTCCCACCAATCCCAACCTTAATATCCAATATGGCTCCCACAACACTTTCAAAATGTGATTATAGCTGCAGTATTATTTCTTACTCTGTGAGTTTGTATCTTTATGAATCATTTGCCAGTCATTTCCATGTGATCTTCCATTAGTAAATGTGTTGCTGGTAGCCATGATGTTTTAGTTCGTAAACTTGTGTTAAGAACTTGAGTGCTTCTCTGACGTTTTCCTGCCATGATTCAGATACCTACGGTTGGGGGAGGAGGTGCATAGTGAGAGGCACGAAAATAAGAAGCCTTTAGGTGCAGAAGTGGTTACAGTTATAGTAAGAGCTTCACTCTGGCGTGAAAATGTAAATTTACACAAATAAGCAACTGGTCCACTTACATGTATTTATAGAATTGTGAAACATTTTGCAAGTGAATGATTCATTTCATTTGCACTTTAACAGGTGTTGATGAAACCAAACTGTTTAACTGTGATAAATGTAATCAAAATGTACTAAGTTTAGCCTACCTCAGTTTAGCATACTAAGCTAATATCAGCCCACGTTAGCTTAGTTTCCTTAGTTTCCCATCTTGCTTCAGCTAAATTTACTAATTGCTCTGTTTGTTTCTGAAACTCCTTATATCCAAGTGGAGAACATTCCAGTTACAAGTTGGAAAACAGCCAGACTTGCTAACTGATGCTAACTAAGTGGTTAGTCTCAATTTTATGAGTTCAAACAGCAGTGAATTTCTTGGCCTGAATCAGTCTAGATTACAGAATTCATCGAAGGATGGATTGAAACATGTTTTTTTATTTTATTTTTATCTCTATAAAAATATTTGAGCAGTTTTGTGTAAATATTTTGGTAGGCTTACAGATTTTCAGTCACTGAGGAAATGAATATAAATCATTTAGGCTGCATTCACACCAGCCTTGTTTAGACTGCTAATCTGACTTCAGTCCATTTGCCTAGAAAGTCCCTTTACTACTGACCTTTGACCTCTGGTTCTCCAAAACTTGTCCTGGATTCGGTTGAAGTTAAGTTAAATGCATGTGTGAACAGCAAGCGAACCGCAGACCCCTCCAAAGGCAGGAAGTGGATTATGGCGTAGGGCATTCTGGGTAAATACAACCAAAACAAACCCGTTAGCTTAGCGATAGCAGGAGAAATATCTCACGGTCTTTGGCTAAAGACTAAAGAGAAATGCTCCAACCGCTAAAATCTGATGCTACTTAAGTTTTGCTTACATTTTGTGATGGAGGAAGTTGTGCTCAGCGTCTTCAGAGGTTTTGGTGTCGCTTCCTTCAGTGGTTCTTGGTGCAGCGCCCCCACAGGCCAGGAAGGAACAGTTTTGCTCAAAGGCTTTGACTTGTTTGAGAAAGAGAACTGCAGCAGCTGGAAATGGGAAACATTTCACTCCAGTCTCTCTCCATGTCATTACATGAGTAAAACCAGATCTTATATAGAAAACGTGGGTTAGAATCATGTTGGACTTCTTGTATCTATTAACTGTCGGACTGTCAAATTCTCATCAGAAGGTAATATTTATAGCTCTTTGGCAAACTTCACACCATGATAATTAAGACTGAAACCATGAAGAAAAACTCTGAAATACTTTCAGAAAGTTCAGAGAACCTCCGACTGAGACCACTTCCACCGACCACAAGAACTGGAGCAAAATTAAAAGACAAAAACTGACTAAGTGTTTTGTTCTGAGTTTGTTGCTTTCTCTTTAGAAGAGCAAAGGTCAAAATTAGCTCATGTGGTTCCAGAACAGAGTGATGGCGGTGTGATGATGCATTGCAACAGAACATCATCTTGTCATGACAACAAACCCACACGGCAACTCTGAAGACCAGAAGCTGCTGTTCATCACACGGAGCAGATGAACCGGGTCGGACCAGAATCCTCTCAGCTCCACAAAGCTCCAGGAAAATATGTTTAAATGTTGGTGTTTATTATAAATTAATGAACATGAATTTTACATGCGGTCGCATCAATAAATGAGATTATTACAAATACAATGTATATTTGAGGAACTCCATCACCCAGTGAAATATTATAGAGTTTAATTCCACACAGATTGATGCTTTCAAGCCTGTTTGATGATGATTTTCTGCTTAGAGTTCATAAAAGCACAAAATTAAAGTTAGAATATAACATGAGGTCATTAAAACAGTTTAAACAAAGTCTGCTTAACCCCAGATTTCCGGTTATTTGATTAAGTCTCACAGAAACAAATGGACTAATTCTCTGACTGTAAATTAAGAAAACGTGAAATTTTGACTGAAACACTGAGTCGTAAATAAAAACCCCACGCCGAGTTGACTGATGGCATCAGACCACAAATAAGAGCCACATCCTGTCTGACAGCGAGGCGTGCAAGCTGCTATTTTCTCCTAGCAGTAATCAAGCTAGGAGAAAATAGCTTCTATTGCACCCTGTATGGAAAGGGTACAATACAGAACCGATGTAAAACATGACTTTATGTATTACGGATGCCTTGATGAAGGTTCTTCTATTTCCTGTGATTAAAGACAAAGCTGTCAAATTTGGCAGCTCTGATAACTATAGATCTGTAGCCCTAGTTAATACACTGTCTGAAGTCTTTGAACTGATTCTTTTGCCAAGCTTTGCTAAGACAGTAATGTCTACAATCAATTTGGGTTCAAGTCCAAACATGGCTCTGGTTTGTGTAAATATGGCTTAAAAGAATTACTGAATGATTATAATAGCAAAAAATCTTAAAATTTCTTTTTATTTGAGTGACCTCTCTAAGCAGCTAAACTTGCGTAGAACTGGCTGCATGGTTGGAGATGCTATTATAAATCATTTAACGTATGCTGATGATCTGCTGGTTTTTAGTTCAGCTGGTCTTCAGAAGCTGCTTAGTGTCTGCTCAGCGTACGGTGAATTAAATGATGTTAAAGTCAACCCATCAAAACGTATAAGTCAACCCATCAAAACGTATAATTTTGATTTGTCGCACTAAAGAGGACAATAAGAGGGTCTTTCCAAATTTCAAGCTGTCTGGGATTTTACTGAACGTCTCAAATGAAGTAGGATATCTCGGTCATGTGTTGACTGACCGTCTGTCTGATGACGAGGACGTTTACCGTCAGGTTCAAATGTTATATGCTCAGGCAAATATCCAGTCCACAAGTTTGGATTCTGCTCTGATGACGTGAAACTGAACTTGTTTAGATCATATTGTACATCACTGTGTACTGCTCACCTTCAGTCTATAAAGCCAGTCTTAATAGCTTATAATGATGCATCAAGACTTTGTTAAATAAGCCCATATGGACCAGCGCTCGTGAACTGTTTGTATCCACTCGCATCAGCACTTTGATGACTGTTTTCAGAAAGCCTATTTATACATTTATTTGTCATTTAAATAAGTCTAACAACAGAATGATCCTACTGTTGACTAATGTTAAATACAGTGCTTTGGAGGCATTAGTATGACTGCCTTCTGAATGGTTAGGCGTCTTTTTTTATTGCACTTTTATTCTGTTGTACTATTTGTTTTTGTTTTTATGTAATTTGGACTTTTAAGTGTGTAATAAAATCTATCTATTCAAGATTTCTGTTCCTTATTTCAGAAAAAAAAATCATTTTACATTAATCTAACACAAAAATGTTAATATTTCTTGATGATTACGAGTTAAAGAGAATAAAAACTCGCAGAAACATGTTAAATATTAGAAACTCCTGGTGTTCCAAACACCTGCAGAGGTTTCCTGGACACAAAAGGCGAAGATGTGCTGCTCCACAAATGCTGAACTCCTGACTTGTTGACGTTTTGAGTGTCGGAAAGAGCAGGAGCTTCTAGAAGAGACAGAGGTCCAATTGTTAGGCAATAAATAACTAAAGGGAAAATAGTCGCTTGATTGTGATATACAATGGAATTGTGTTACTGAAAAATATGATTCCGGCCCTTTAAGAGCAGTGTGATGAACATAAAACTTTCCATTTCATTTCAAAATCAGAGACCCTACAGAGTCTGGAGGAAGAGGAGGAACCAATGATGAAGATGAAGGCTTTATCAGCAGAAGCTCCTTCATGCCACGCCGCTCTGATGCAGTAATTAAAGCTGAAGGAGCCCAGACCGGAACTGAAGAACGTTTTTTTGTTTAATTGTTTTATTGATCTCATGGAATATTCTGATTTCTGTTTTGTTCTCTGGTCCAGAATCATAGAACATGTTTCTGAACAAATGAAGGCTGAAATATTTCACTGTGTGATTAAACAGAGTTCCTATTTCTGGAAAAAAAAAAAACATATATACATATTTTTTTTTCTCGTAATTTTTATTTTATTTTTTGCACTATAATTGTTTAGGGAGATAACTAGAGAATTATAAAAATACCATTTTGTTCTGATCTGGATGATCAGCTGGTTCTGATTCTGGTCATTTATCAGCAGCTCAGAGGAAACAACCAACTTCCTTGTCAACTTCCTGTTGATCAAACGCCGCGGCGCCACAGACACAGACTCACGCAGCGTCTTGGATCAGAAAGCATCTGTTTTACAATGACCAGATTAATAATCCATCATCCCGCAGATGAACTGAATTATGAAATTAAAATGTTTCAGCAGCTGAAACAACAACAAACGTCCAGAAGTCAAAGACTTTATTAAAATATGAACAGAAAAAAAGCAGCTTCTCCTCCTGATTCCAATCATTTTCACTTTCAACAGAAACGCTGAATGCAGCGAAACCAGGCGATGCTGGATGCTGATTGGCTGACGAGTCGCAGTCAAACTCTGCAGGAGAACTGACGACTGGGCCACGGCGTCTGACCAACCGGCTGCTCAGAGCCACACAACCCGCCAAAATAAAAGTCTGTTTGGGAATGAAGAGCAGGACAAGTCCTGATCTGAGTCTCTAAACTAGTCCCAGTGTGCAGCAGGAACTGGTCCCAGTGTGCAACAGTCAGTGGCTCTTCTTGGACGAGCCAAACCCGGAAAATCCCATGACGGCGGCCATCTCATCGTCCTCCTCCAGCTCCACGTCGTCCTCGGCTCGCCGCTTCCTCTCCTTCTGCTTCTCTTTTTTGTAGGCCTTCGCCTTCTCCTCCTGTAGGAGACACAGGCCGCAGAGATAGGCTATGAGGACAGGAGGCGTCACTCTGACTAAATACACTGCAGTACAAACCATTGACCCGCCAGTTTGACCAGGACCTGCAGCGGAGTGATTAGGGTGATTGAAAGATAAAAAAAGGGAGCAAATTTAAACCAAAAAAAAATTTAACTCCTGATTTGGTTTATTGAGTCTTATTTTATTTCATATATCAACCAATCACAGCCAAGACTAGGCCTGCTGCTTTATTACAGAAAGACTTCAGAAGTAAAAACCACCAGGGCAGATTCTAGTGTTGACAGTCATTTCTTTTTGTGGCAACATTTGGCTCAAACTCCTCACCAGTAGCTGGTAGTAATGCTCCCTCATTAACATTTTATTTTCTGAATAAACTCAACTACTAATTATTCAGATAAAATAACAATTAATTGATTTTGAAGGCAGAAAGTAAATAAGGTCTGGATGGGGAATCCGTTTTGTTTCTGATGGTTTTAGTGTGCATGGGTGGAGCGCAGTAACGTCAGGGGGGCAGCAGGGGGCGTGACTTGACTCACCTCCTCCCTCAGCTCCTTCATTCGCTCCTCAAAGTCGTACTCTTTCTGCTTCTCCTCCAGCTTCTTCTTGTTCACCTCGAAGCGTTTCTTCACCTGATCCAGAGACGAGCGTTCCACCCGCATCGACATGCCCAGATTCCTCTGGTCTGCTCACACACACACACAGTTTACATATTAGGACTCTGACTTCCTTTCCTTTTAGTACCTGCCTTCATGTCCTACCTCCAAACTTGATCGTTGACTATAAACAAGAGTGTCCACCAAGGCATGGGCAACATGGACTCAATATTTTGTAGTACTATAGTGATAACTATGAAAGTTATGATAAAACCCATTACCGTAATTTTCGGACTACAGAGCGCACCTGATAAACATCACCCAGTATAAACTATTTTGTACATTCATAAGCCGCACCTGTCTATAAGCCGCATGTGCCAACATTGAAACGAGATATTTACAAAGAAAGACGATACACAGAAAGAATTTTCAAATTTTTAGTAATATACCTTAGCTTTTCTTTCCAAACAGTGCCTGTGACAGCGCAGCAACACAGTAGCTCAGCACTAATAGGGCTGGTTAAAAAAAAACATACCGGTAAAAGTCACAGAGTCGTCTTCATCTTCCTCCTGTGCACTGAAATCATGGAAGTCTTTCTCCTCAGTGTCGGATTGAAATAGTGTCAGATATTCTTCGCCACACTCTCTCTCAGTCTCTCCTTCATTGTTCTTTATCAGCCAGCTCAATTACTTTTAACTTGTAAGCTGTGTCATATGCATTTCTTCTTGTATTTTCCATGATGAGGGTCTGTTCATGCTAATTTTATTCATGCACAAAACGCGAAGTTACATTAAACTTGCGTTTTCCTCGACATATATATTCCACCTGTTTCACTCTGACCTTTTCTGCTCCAGCGACCATGGCGGCCGCTAGAAAAATGCATAAATTAACCGCACCATTGCATAAACCGCAGGGTTGAAAGCGTGTGACAAAAGTCGTGGCTTATAGTCCGGAAATTACGGTACTCCTTTTTCAGGTAACTGCTGATCTTTAAATGTTTAAATAAACGTCTTCAGTACGCACATAAACCCGCTGAAAAAAGTTTGATTTATATCACTAAACCATCAGATACTTCATTTAATCATATTTCTGAATTTACTCATATTTTTTGATGGTGATGACCATTTCTACTCCTGTAAACAAATGGCTGTTCTTTCAGCTAACAGCAGCTAGCTCTTAGCAACCGGTTGCTGTGGCCACAAGACTCAAGTCCAGACTGAAGAGATGAGTCTGACTCAGCCGGCTCAGCTGATGAACTCACACTAAGCCAAAACACAGCACTTCCATGGTAACAGCTGCTGGTTTGAGGACTCACGTTTCTTCCCGTTGATGTGATCCAGGAAGTTGATGGAGTCTTTCACCACACAGTCACACACGTTGCAGTAGTACCTGGAACAACAGAAGAAGAAGTAAGGCGTCAGCACCGGCCAGGCGGCGTGGGGACGGAGCCAACTCTGAACACCCACCCGCCCATCTCGGCCTGCGGCGTCGTCTTGGTGATGACGATGGTCTTCCCCAGCTTGGACTCCAGGTCCACCTTGTAGTCCCGGTGACGCAGGAGTTCCCGCTTGACCGGCGGCACAATCTTCCCTGGAGGAACACAGAGAAAAGCTTTAACCTATAACCTCTGGGAATTCAGAGCTCTGCTTCCAATCAGCAGGCAGAAACAGGAAGTGAAGCCATGTTGGAGACAGTTCTCCTCACCATCCCTCTTCTCCAGCTCCCTCTCGTCCGCCAGACGTTTCTGAGCCAGGGACTCGTACTCGTCTTTGTCCCATTTTCGACGGAAGTCGTTCTTACTCGACTGGAAGAGGTCAAAGTTGAACATGAGAAAAGCTTCCAGAGAAACGGATCCTTCGATTTACCTTTCCAGATTGAACGATTTTTGTTCTGAATCAGTAAATTGAAATAAATTCTACAAAGTTAAACTTTGACCAGATGCATTTTTTATGCAGTGATGAAGATGTTTATATTATAAATACTTCACTTTATCATATAATATTTTTATAGTGGTTATAGTTCATCAGGAAACTGTAAAGATTTAAACATTATTGTCATACTGCAAGTCTTCAGTCAGAGGCCTCTACAGATTTCTTGCATGACTGCTACTGGAGATGAACAAGGACTCTCTGAAGATACTCAGGAGATCAGTTACAGTAACACTTAATTTCCCGTTTGGACAAATAAAGTATTATTGAATTGAATAAATAACTATATGATTTTGTTATTCTTTAAGATAATGATGTAGAACCCAAAGTGAGATTCAATTACGTAACAGCGAGAGGGTTAAAACACTATTTCCCACTTTAATACAGAATTATAAGGCTTACTTTTAAAATCTCATCCGATTAGTTTTTAAAAAATCATTGTTTAAACCGGGAATTATTTTATTTTAACAGACCGGAAGTTATGTTGTAGCGGTTAGCTGAGCTTCTGCTAAAAGCTAAGAATTTATTTACCATCAGTTTTGCTTCAGAATAAAACCAGAGACACAAGAGCCACTGGTACCGACTGAAGCTCGAGTTTAAATGTAAATATGGTCACAAACTGTGACTAAAAGCCTGATTATTGTTTTCATTGTTTTCGTCGCTGTCTGTTAGCATGCTAGCCGCTAGCATCAGCGACCAGAAGCTCTATAAACGGCTTCAGGCGGAGCTGAAGGTGGTTCCGGTCGACGGGGAAACTCGAATAGTCACGGACACCTAAGGTTTGATTTTTAAAAGGTACAAATGAAATATTTTAACTATTATAGTGAAAAACTCACTCCACTGCCTGTCGCCATCTTGTTTACTCGGTTACCGGAAATGGCTCAAACTGACTTTTAAATTTGTGACCAGCAGCGCCCCCTGCAGGAAACAGGCAGGTAGTGATGGCAAACCAGGCAGATTTTAACAGAGGAAAATATAAACGGGTAAAATGCTGTCCTACAGGTGAGCGGAAGTGAGTAAACTTGTTGATAAATTATTACAGTTTCAAAAGAGAAGCGGCAGAGACGGAAGGTGTCCCAGGTGTGGTCAGGTGAGCTTTGGGCTCCGCCCCCTTTCCAGCGCCGCAGGTGCTCCTCATTATAAAGCCGAGAATCAGAATGATGGCGTGTCTGTCTGAAGAGAAGCGAAGAAATGTCAACTAGTGGAGTGGAACCCGCAGCCCAGGGTCCGCTGCTGTCCTCCAGGTACGAACCAGAACCTGAACCTGAACCTGCAGGCAGAGTTCTTAGAACCAGTTTCTAATTAAGAGGGAATCCGTTTCTTGTAGTTCATATTGACTCCTATCTTTCTGTTAGGCTGTTAATCTGGTTACACTCTAAATGTTAAAGTTCTGAGCTTTGAAACTATTTTGGGTTTATTTCTTGACCCATTTGGACCGATTGGTTTTACTCGCGCTGTGTTTGGTGCTGATTCTGAATCGGTCATCATCCAGAATCGGTCAAATAAAACTGATTTCCGTCGCGGTCGTCATTCAAAAACCTTCTGGTTTTGGTAAATTTAAATGTAATACTTTTATCCTATCTTACGGGTCATAAACTTTTGAGTTTTTCAGACAATTAAATCAATAAAATGAATAATTAATTCAGTCATGAAGAAGTCTGCTGACCCAAACACTTTCTGCACAATTAAGCGATAAAAGGTTACAGCTAAAGAAGCTGTCCGTTCAGAGTTCTGTATCAAAATATAATGGAAAGTTGAGTGGAAGAATAAAGTGTGGTTGTAATAAAACTGAAGTCGACCTTGAGGGGATTGTGAAACAAAATAAATGTTTCTTCGCATACTGGAGGAAGACTGGAGTTTGTCGGATTGGTTCTGGTCCACTGAGTCTATAAATTTCATTGGTTGAATTTCACAAATTTGAGATTTTTAACTTTAAAATGCATAAATAAATGCTTGAGATTTTATAGTACAGAACAGTTGTTTTCCAACTTGAATTCAGATCTTGAGGTGAAAATGTAAAAAGCTTGAAGATTAAATAAACTTTACTAGCTTATAAGACAGTCTAAATATTGTGGGGTAAAAAATGTCCCTCTGACCCGGTTCTGCCAGCTTCTCTTCCAGCCCCTGGTCGTGTGTTTGTGCCAATTCTTGGTCCGCGGCCATGTGGAGCGGCGTTCCCGACCTGATGCCCGCCGCCCCGGAAACCTCCTCCCCCGAACCGTGGCTCCTCCCCGGCTGCAGCTCGGTCTTCGACACCCTGGTCAGGTAGGCGGCTCACCTGGTCACCGACTGCCCCCTAGTGGAAGGAATGGATCATTAAACCTTAGTTGGTCTCGTTTGGTTTTGATCCAGACTGCAGTTCGGGTTCTTTCCCTCCAGGGGATTTTTTTTTTTGTATTTTATTTTTATTTTTTTTAATTTTATGGAAACAAATTTCTGCCATGAAAGAAAAAGATAAAAACCCAACTGGAAGTCATTATTATTATACTGGAGCAAGACTTGGTAGAGAAAGTTTTACTCAATTCTCACTTTTACTCAATGTCATGTTGGAAGTTTTTTTTTTCCCCTCTCTTCTGGAAGATAGCATTTCCAGATTCTTTTTTGTTGAGTGATCTTCTGAATTCTCTACATTGGGTTGGCTATTTGCTCCATAACGGTTTTCCCTCCGGTTTTCCAGCAACGCGTCTCCGATTCCGTCTCCCCCGGCTGTAGGTGGACTTCGAGGACGAGAGCGAACCGGAAGCAAGCCTCGCAGGTTTGTATCTCAAATGACCTGACCGAGCCATTTCTCTGCACCGCAGAACTTCATTGTTTTCTTCCTTCCCAGGATCCAGACTCTTAAAGCTGTCTGGATCATTTGATTCAGGACTTCAGGCTCCTGATGCTGCTGGAAGGAAAATGTGTGAATCAGGACAAACCTTCCGTCTGAAAAATGAAATGTTTTAATGCTATGAGTCTAAATCAGGGGTATCCAAAGTGCATCTCAGGAGCTATTTGTGAATAAAACTGACACAAAAAATTTGAATCTAATAGATGAAGTATTCCTCATTTTATAACCAACCTTCTACTTTCCCTATCATTGTTTAAAAAAGTCAAAAAGCCCTAATTTTTAAGGCTGCAGTTTTTGAAAATGTTTTCTTGAGTTGCTGATTCTGAAGTTTTTCCTCGGCCGGCAGGCCGTCCATCCTGGAGCGCTGCATCCTCAAGGTGTCCACCAGCAGTGTGGCGGTGGGGACGGACGACGTGGACGGGAAAAGGTCAGCGTGACGGCGACCCGGACTGGTCGGGTTTGTCTGAACCTCAGCTGATTTGCGCAGTCTGTTTCAGCCTGCTTTACGGCTGGTTTGGACTTCGTGGTGACGGCTCGGCCTCCGTTTCCTGCAGGCCTCCGTTCTCCCGCTGTTACCCTCGATTGCCGGACCCGGCCAACACCGAGACAAATGCGGCGGTCCTGAAGCGGCGCCAGAAGCAGATCCAGTACGGCAAGAACACCAGTGGCTACCAGAACTACCTGCAGCAGGTCCCCAAGTGAGAAACCATCTCTGAAGTTTAATTACTTTTTAATGAACCCACGGTCAGTGAGTAAAGAAATGTTAACTTTTAGGATGATTTTATTCACCATTTAATTCATTTAGCATAAATGCTAACCCCACACCATTTGAATTTTAGATGACCTTGACAGAAAATTGTATTTTATTGGAATATATTTTTCAACACAGTCCTGTCTTTTGATGACAGAAAAATGTTTTTTTATTAATCGCCTTAATACAAATTAAGTTCTTATGATTTGCTGCAGCGGGGGTCCTTTGTCTTGTTTCCATTTCTTGCTATGTGAGCAAGAGGCGCAAAACAACTTGACCAATTTGACTGGCAGCCAAATAAATTACATTCAAATACTTTATTTAAACTTGTATTTATTTAACAAAAGATTAGAAAACAGAAAATTATTATAAAATGCAAGATTTAAACATTTGTGGGACAATTTTTTTTTTCATTTTTTTGCATGTTTTTTTCCCCCTCTTCTCTTTGTCTGCTCCACAGCGCCCCCTGTTGGCTCCTGTTTAAAAAACACTGCTGTAGGACACCACTGTCACAGTATCACTGAAATGCATACAGTCACTGCAATTAAACATATTTTCAAATTTGATATGTAATGTACTCATGGCATAAATAGTGGAAGAAATATTTAAATCACCATATGGACAGTTTAGGGTTTTTTCTAAAGCATCATTATTTGAAATTTATCTTGACTATGAAAAACTATCACTTTAAATGCCCACCTGTACTCTGAAGGCTTAGGCTCCGCCCCCTGATCGGTTGATTTCCTCCACAGACACCTGCGGGACCCGAAGCTCCATCCAGCCACACCCAACAAGTACCGGAAGTACAGCCGGCGCTCCTGGGACATGCAGGTGCGTCTTTGGAGGCGCGCGCTGCACCTGTGGGACCCTCCAGCCAGCGACGCGCCGGACACGCCCGACCCGGTGGAGCAGCTGTAGGTGGAGCCTCTGCCGCCCCCTGCTGGACGCTCTCGGCAGCAAAAAGCTCAGCATCTCACCCTCCTCTGGTGTCTGCAGGCAGAGCCAGCTGGCCAAGATGACGTCAGACCTGTGCGAAGATGGAGGAGACAAGCAGAGAGAGAAGGAGACTCCTGCAGCCTCTGATGCCTCCTCTGTGTCTCCTATGTCTGTGGACGTTCCTGGAGCCTGGACTGTCCCACTGTCCCCAGTAAGGCCTTGCTTCTGTACTAGTCGATTATTGCAGGAGGAAGTGGTTTCTGCCTCTAAACAATGACTGTCTGGTGTAAACATCTAGCTAGTTTTCTACAGCTGCCTATCAGTCCTGCAGGTCAGGTGGTGATCGTCATATGATCACCACCTGACCATATGACTGATCGGAAGGTGACGACATTATATAAATGAGGTATTTATAAATCCGATTACTTCCTTGTAGCAAGAGGTTATATCTGTCCCAACCACATCTACTGAGCTCATTAATGATGGGCAGCCCTGAAACTAAGCAACATGCCTAACCTGGTTGTCCATTGGATTGTCTACTTCCTCTGCTGTTTATCAGCATTGGATTGGCTAGCATTAGCATTGGATTGGCTAGCAGCTTCACCTAGGCTGGTCTCGTGCAACTTGTACTTTCTTCTTTAAGGGAAACGTTAAGCAAATGTTGGCATACAGTGTTTGCCATGTGCAGTAGACATGCTGGTCGTGTTGTAGTCTTTGGTTTTAAAACCACATCATACACTCAGTTTGCTTCATTGACTGAAACTAAAGTAAATCTAAACCAACCAGTTTATAGGTTAACGTTTGGATTCTGACAGACTGCAGAGATCTCGAAGTCTTTATCTGGGCTCATGGTTCATGGACTCTGCCTTGGGTTAGCTTCTCCTCACACAGCCACTGATTGACCAGCTGCAGCGTAAGTGGAAGAGATCGGCGATTTAAACGGGTCTGGAACCGAACCTGGCCCCTGATTACGAAGTGTTTCATGTTGAGCCTGGTTCTCAACATAGACATGCACGGTTCTCCTCAGGGCTGGTTCATGACAGAACCCTGCGGGGTGATAAAACTGGTTTTATTCAGTCGATCGGGTTGTGCTGCAGGTAGACTTGATGACATCTGAATGCGATTCCGAGTCAGAACTTTGAATGATCGAGCTGTTTTCCTTCGTCCGGCAGCTGGAGACGAGCCTCCGTCCTTTTCGCTCTCCTCCTGGCCTCAGCTATTCCAACAGGAGTCAGCGAACCCCTGATGACGGCATGAACGACTGGCTCCGCCTCCTGATGGAGACCGACCACACCCCAGGTAAGGCCAGACTCTTCCCTCATAACGCCTTCCAGTCTCTAACTGAACCTGGGTCATAAAAGGATGGTGAACCTTTTTCCAGATCTACAATTTAACTCTTATTCCTCTGGTCTGTCTCCTCAGATTTCGGCTCTGATGACCAGCAGGTTCCCGTGTTTTCCGACCATTTCTTCTGGAATCCGTACTGATGACCTGATCTGAACTACGTTGGACCCGATGTTGTGTGAACTGGACCTGATGTTGCCTGAACTGGACCTGACCTGTTTTCTGCTTATTCTGAACTCTTCCCAATGTTTTGGGGTTTTGGAGCCAGACCCTCACTCATCTTTTAAAGATTACCACAAACCTTCGTCACCGCCGGTGGCGCGCGACCCCCCCCATACGGTGCGCGACCCGTCCCTGGTCCGGTCGCTGCCCCCGGCAGTTGGCCGCCTTACTGTTAGCACTTGTTTTATTTGAACTGCCTCAGAATGAGCACAGTCACCTGCATCACGGCGGAATCCTGCACTGAGGGAACGTCACCAGTTTGTCCCGTTCGTCACTCGGTTCTTCACCTTCATCCTGCGCTCCTTCTCCTCATGTTTCTTTTAAAAAATGAAGCTCCTGATCAGTGGAGTCGAAGCGCTGCCACTTTTGTGTTCTGAGATTTCTTTTACTTCTACATGCTGCTTTATGAATAAAGTGAAATGTGATTAATAAAGATGTAAATAAAGATAAAAATAAAAAAACATACCGGTAAAAGTAAAAAGCCTGATCTCTGCTTCAAACTGGGAGAAGATGTTCTGGTCCTACAACCAGCCTTTGGTGGTTCTGGAAGAGAAAAGGATGACCCAGATGTTCCTGACTCGTTCAGTGGATGCAGAATTAGTTCTTGATCCAGATGTTGTACTGTGGTTGGTCTTCAGCATTTTTTTTTTTTCAACATACAGCATTTTGTTTTCCTTTGGTCAGAAATGGATAATTGAGATCTTTTTTTTTTTTTTTCACCAAGTTAGATGATCTGAGCTAGATTTTTGTAGAGGTCTCCTTGGAGCATAATTTTGGAAGTGACCCCAAAGATTTTACAAACTTCAAAACTCAGAGCAGCTTTTTAATGTTGCATTTCTATAAATGAATAAAATACTAAAATATTTGGACTGAAATATTTCAGTTCTGAGTCATTTCAGGTGGGACATTTAGCTGTTTAAGTTGACCTATTAATGTCCTATAATTTTTATTTTAAATAAGTTAATTTTTAATTGAAAAAACTTTTTGCTGTTAACTTATTGAATAAGCAGATGTGAGGCTAACACCTTTTAGCACAACTTGAACACAAGAGCATTCTCTCCCAGTCTCCAATCAGATCGCTTAGAAGCAGAAATTAACCCCTAGTTTGCCGAGAGAAGACGCTTCGTTGCCTGTTGCTGTTAACGAATGTTGCTTGTGTGGCAGATTTAAGGGTGTACCAGAAACATCCAAATACAAAGGCTATTTAAAAACAAGAAATGCAATTAATTACATTAAAATCCATGTAATCTAAAATAAACACGTTCAAGTCCCAGATGTATTATTTTTTCTTTTGGTTGGGCACCAAACAGGCTCTAGCCCAGGGGCCCCTGTCCTTCTAAGTTCAGCCCTGCATCATAGGATCTCTGGTCCACCTGCTTGGGAGCATTTTTGACCTTTTTTCATGTGTCATGAGTTTTTTCTGGCTCTGTCTTGACCTGTAATGTGTATTTTGGAAGCTCTGAAAGTGGAGGCCTGTGTCTGCAGAGACAGGTGGAGGTGTTCAGATTCGGACAGGTGAGGGTGGAGGTGCTCAGCTGCAGGGCTGTGATTTCTGCAGGCTTGTCCTTTAACCACAGCCTCCAGGAAGAGAGAGAGGATCAGAGCTGCTGCTGCTGTAAACAAGCTGCTGTCGGCCCGGGAACTACAGCTCCCATCATCCCCTGCGCTGAAGGGCTTGTTTTGCTCCAGCTGGATTATTTTTTATTTCTGCAGGATTTCTGGCCTGATGTTCAGCTGTTTGCGTTCTGCAGAGGCTGGAGGAGTAAAATAAGAAGAAGAGGAGCAGGTGCTGATGATGAAGCATGAAGCATCGCTCCTCCTCCTCTTCTTCCTCCTCTTCATCCTCCTCCTGGCACCGTAAATGTTATTTATGAATGCCCGCCGCTCACGGGCGTGTGCGCGCAGGATTTCCATTATTACGCTGGATAATTAGGAGACATCGCGCTGAGATCAGAACCGAGCTGCGGGTCGGTACCGGAGCCGAGCGACATCATCCGTGCTTTGATTCATTTCGGTGGGTTGGGTGCCGCTGCTGCTCGGTAATACTGGGTCAATACACCGAGCACCGGAACCGCCTCACTTCGACACCAGACCAGGTAAGCCGCCGCTGGGACCTGGGAGGAGGGGGGGCGACTGCATGTTAGGTTCGGTCGCGGTTCGGGTCGGTGTGCGGCGTGCATCCCCCCCCGTGTCCCCGCTCAGGGGCTCCGCGGACCGGCCTGTGTGAGCCAGCAGCGCCGCTGTGACCGTCCAGGCTGGCGGGGAGGCAGCAGGCCTGTAGCCGAGCATCAGCGCAGGATCTCCGCTTGTTTATTTGGGCTGTGCCGCTAACAGCGCCATTAGCTGCCGCTAGCTTGGCTCTGCCTGCTGCTGTTACCCCCGGTTAGCCCCCTCGATGCACCCCATTACCCCCAACACCTCATTAGTCTTCCCATTCGGCCTCCTATTTACCCCCATTTATTACCCAGTAGCCCCCAGTTAGCCCTTGTTTTACTGTTACCCCATCTATTACCCCATACACCCTTTAGCATTATTTTTGACCGACTACCCCACCCCACCACCCCCACATTTGCCCCTATAATTCCCAGTAAGCCCTCCTTAGTGTTACCCCCTCTGTTGGCCACCCTGTTACCCCTGCACCCTATAACCCAGTAGCCATTGTCACCCCCAGTTTACCCCTGTAAATGTCACCTGCACTAGCCTTTATTACCAATTTCTTAGCTATGTAGTTAGTCCCTGTTACCCTGAAATACCCCATTTGGCCCTCGTACCCCTCTTTTAGCCCCATTAGCCCTGTCTGTTGTACCGTCTCCTTGTTAATCCTCCTTCTGTCCAGTTACCCCCACTTTGAACCACTCAATTAGTCCCTGTTACTCTCAATTAACCCCTATGGTATTTCCCCTCTGTTAACCACCCCATCAGTTTTTATTACCCCTCTGGTAGTTATGTAGTTAGCCCTGTTTCCCTAAAATACCCCATTTTGACCTCCTACCCCTCTTTTATCCATCCTAGTGGCATTGTCTGTTTGTAGGTACCTGCAGTCATTTTTTTGTTTAGATTTTTAGTTCTTTAAATGCATTTTTCTATTAAAAGACAAAGAGCATAAAAACATTTCAGCCCATCATGTCTTAACGGTTTTTGAGATTTTGAGGGGTATGTGTACCTTGCCACAAACCTTTGAATAGAAAAAGATGGGATTTTTGAAACCCGATTACTTAAAAATAAATCAATTTGACACTTATTTGTAATAATTTTTTTAAACATATATAAATCACATCGCAAAACATAAAAATGCACAATATAAATAGCTTACTTTTAAAATGAAAATTCTTTAGAAAATGTAATTTTGAAAAATCAAACAAATTTCAATATTGACCCAGACAGCAGACATAGCATGTTTGGGATGCCATATTAAAAATATATATATTGACACCAAGCCCCAAAAGCTATTTTGCCCAGCCTGCTGTGTGGTCTTAACAGGACAAATTTTTGGTAGGGGTCTGTTACTGTTTAATAAAGATTAATTAATCCGCAAAAATGCTTCCAAAGCTAATTTGACTGACGGAATAAAACTTTAATTTTTTTCCCAAAATTTAGTATATTTTTTGACCACTCCCCAAATTTGTATTTTTCATCAGATTTCAATAAAACTTCTCTACTACAGATAACTTAGGCTGCTGAGTAAAATAAAGGCGTCCATCTTTGGCCATTTTTAATAGTTTTGTTGATATTGCTGGTAGGAAATGGGGATTTTTTTGTTGCGGCTGCATCAGATAAAAACATTTATGGCTGTCTTTAATAGTTTTTTTATATTACTGGCAGAAAATAGAGTTTGCCGTGGTGAGTATTGGATACTGCCACTAGGCACATCTGCTATTGCAGATCATGTGCTTGTGGCACAAATCGCACAAAATCAGCACAAACCTAACCACACATATACAAGTCATCCTGCACAATTCCCGTGGCCCATAAAAACAGTGGATATAATCCTCTGTTTTAAAATTATTATACTTAATAATAAGGACAGGGAAGCAAAGCATACCTGTGTGATCCACAGGAGGAGGAGGGATAACCCCATGTTGAGGTGAGGAGGTGAAGCGACCGTGTTTGCTTAATTTCTCCTCTTTTGAAAAAGTTTCGACTAGATTTAACTGTTTACCCCTCCCGCAGTCTTAGCGCGGCTCTCAGGAGAAGCGCGGCAGATGTCACGATCAGCCAGCCGGGCGATACGTCCGCTTTTCAGTTTGCAGAATCACAAAAAATCTCTTCTAATCAGACTTTTCAAAAAATTCATGATAACTATTAGAAAATTTTGCTGCAATATGCATAAAATTGGTATCCTTAGAAAGAAAAATTAATAATCTTTAACACAGTCATGTTGTTTTTTTTTTAAAGAACTTTTGATGATGGGAATTTAGGCTATTTTCCGTGATCAGCATCCGTCCTCTCATATTCCTGAGTGGAAAGAGCGTCACTGCCGGTACCTACTGTTAGCCACTGGCCAATCTTCCTTATGTCCAATTAAGCCATTCTGTTAGACCCTTTTAAAATGACCTCTTTTATTTCCCCTTTGGTGACCCTTTTTGTGTTTTCCCCCTGATTTAAACTATTAGCACCCCGCTGCTGCATCCGCCTCTAGGGCGACAGTTGGATCCAGATATAGTTGGACCCATAGAACCAAAACCGTTGGATTCAGCTCTAGCTGTAGCATCATGGTCTAGTTGTAGCATGATCTTGTTGGGTCTCTGGTTAATATACATTGCATTGTTCTTAAACTATTTGTAAGATTCTTTATCATTGTTTCTTTGTTTTGTTGACTGAGCAGAAGAATCGATGAATTCAGCTTCCAGTTTGATTCTTCAATATTAACTTGAACATGTGTTTCTCTTCGCTAGGTGTGTTCCCAGGGCAACAGGTGAATGATGATGCCCTTGTGATAGTGGGCGGGGCTGCATGGGCCTGCGGGGGTAAGGAGGCGGAGTCTCTGCCTTAAGCCCCTCCCCCCTCCTTCTTGCTACGGACCAAACAGACGGGAAAAAACACGGCCAGAGCTCTCCCTTCCCTCCTCCTCCTCCCCCTCTTTCCTCCCTGTTCTTACCCCCTCCTCACCCCGCCTCTTCCCCGCTGCCCTGCCCCGTCTGCCCCCTCGGCTGCTGCCACCATGCTGTGGTCTCGCTGCTGGTGGAGAGCCTGAGGAAACAGACTCTGGCAGGCGACCCTGCTCAGCCGGGGGACTACTACCTGGTGAGGCACTCAGCCAGAGGAACCCAGATGAACACTCAGATCCCAGTTTCGCTAACACCAAAGCTTTTTCTTTCAGTCCCTGCTGGACCCGAAAACCCTCCCAGAGTGCTGGCCCCCAGATGGCTTGATGCCTGGTGAGTGTTTGTCCGCAGCCCACTGTTCAGGCAGGAGGTTTAAGAACTACTAGATTAATTTAGCAATTGAGTATTTATCGACGATTCTGACGATTAGGTTTTTTTTTTAGCAGTTTTGAGTTGAGCTGGGCAATATGAATATCATGGTATTTTGTGGTGTTGTGGTAACGATAAAAGTGACAAAAAGAACTATTTATTATGTCTAATGTTGCTCTTTAAAAACATTCCCATCTGTAATACAAGAAGTGTGATTTATTTCACCCTGAACAGGTACTGCATTTTCAAATGTATTGGTATTTTTTGATGTCTTTATTGTGAATAAAATAGTAAAACTAACAAACCCGACAATAAGAACGGTTTTAAACATAATTAATTACAAAGCAAAGTAAGAACCATAAATAAAAATTCTTATCATAAGACAGTTATTTAAATTTATTTTTGTATCACGATACAAAAATGTTCACCACTAGTTATGAGCAGCGAAGTGTTAAACTGTTACCATGTAAGTTACTCAGCAGGGGGTTGCTGGGCAACCAATAAGTGAGTTGCTAGGCAACAAAATAACGAGTGAGTTATTTGACGCCATCCAGCTAGCTTAACTGGCTGCCAGCGTTTGAGCAATTAATGTCTATATTTCCCAGAATACCGTGCGGTTTCTGATTGGAGTTCTGAATATTCCATTTGTTGAATGTTTTGTCAAATATCTTATCTGTACATATTGATTAAGTGTCTGTTGCGATATATATTGTTATCAATTAATAGTCCAGCCCTAAAGCCAATCAGAACGCCGGACCAGGTGTAACTCAGAGAAAACGGAGAGTAGTAGGAAAAAATAATCAGAGTGAGGAGACAGAGGAAGGAAGGTGTGGCAGAAAATTGTCATGGTTGCTTTAAAGATTTCTGCTTATTTAGGTTATTATCACTAGTTCAGTTTGTAGCATGAAGAAAACCTAAAGTGAAATTCATCTCAGTAGAATCACTTCCTGTTTGTGTTTCACCAGAGAGCAGCTACTGGCAGTTCTGCCCTCCCTCTAAGACCAGCCTGCAGGGGGGGTTGCTGAGCTCTAGTTTCCCCCCCGGCCCCGTGCCCCTGGTGCCCCCTGATGCCCACCTTCAGGAGGCCGGTGACCCCTTGGAGGGCGGTCCCTCTGAGCCTCAGCGACCCCTGGCACCCAGCACCTCGGCGTCAGAGCTGTCTCCGTCTGGGGCGGCGGCGGCTCCCCCGGGGATTGGACCGCCCCCTCCGCCACCCCCGCCGCCCAAGCGCCACTGCCGCTCGCTGTCGGTGCCGGAGGACCTATCGCGTTGCCGCTACACCTGGCGGCCCAGCGCTTCACGCGTCTGGACTCCCGTCAGCCGCCAGCAGTGCCATGGAGGCGCGGGTGGCGGCGTGGCGGGAGGGGGCGTGGCAGTGGCGGCAGGGGGTGTGGGCATGGCGGGGGGCGGAGTCTGCCCGCTGCGTGCCCCCAGCTCCTCTCTGACCTCATCGCTGCACTCCTCTTCCAGCCCCACCTTCTTCAGCCTGGCGCTGTCGCCGGACTCCCCATTGCCATGGAGCTTCCCCTGGGACCCCAGTGAGGCGGCGGCAGGGGGTGGAGCCTGCTGCTGCTTTTTCCCCTCCCCCTCCTCCTGCTCGTCATCGCCCTCCCCGCTGCATCCGCCTCCGCCTCCCCAGCGGCGCTTCTCCCTCTCGCCAGTGCTCATCAGAGACTCGGCCGCCTCCACTTTCCTTCCTCCGCCTCCGGTCCCCAGCCAGGCGGCACCGCCCCCGCCGGGTTACGCCGCCGCCGGAACCGCCGCGTTGGGGCCAGTACCTCCCTCGCCCTCTTCCGCCTGCAGCACGCCGTCTTCTCTCCGCCGCAGTCTCCCGCCGCAGCTGCCGCGCTGTCACTCGCAGCCCTGCGACCTACTGCTGCTGAAGCCGGGCTTGAAGCGGCGCCGTGACCCCGACCGACCCTGCGCCCGGCCCGTCCTTGACTTCACCAAGATGACGCAGGTAGTCAATTGGTTTGCATGTTTGCTATTTTATTCTGCTAGTAATTTCTTCTTATGACTTTATTCTCATGTTATGAGGACGTTGTCTTATCACAACTTTATTCTCGCTACGTCTTATCGTATCATCACGACTTTCTTCTCGTTATAACTTTCTTGTATATTATGACTTTAATGCAGCGCTTACCTCCTTGCTTATATTTTTGCTTAGCGTCTTTAAAGAGTTTAGCACCATGTGTATCTCTGTGTTTAGCTTCTTTCTCCCCACCGTGTTCAGCCCTTTCTCCTGTTAACTGCCTGCTTTCGTCCCTGCAGACGCGCAGCATCGACCCGCAGTGCCTGGAGCGCGGCGGCGGTAGGCTAGCCTGTGGCGGCGACGTCTGCATGGGCATGGAGGCCTTCATGGGCGACTTTCGGGGCTCCTGCTCACCCGCCGAGTGCCTGGGCCGCACCAGCATCGGGCCGCTGAGCGAGAGTGACGAGGAATGCCGTGAGGATGATGAGGACGAAGAGGAGGAGGCGGAGGAGCGTGAGGCGGCACAGCAGGCCGTATTTGAGAGGGATTGTACAGAACTGGACCTGAACTTAATAGAAGAAAACTGACTTGTTGTAAATGAAGGCTGTTCTCTGTTTCTGTTTTCTAACTGAGTTTTATTTTGAAATGACCTGACCCCTGCCCTTCTTCCTGTCCCACCATCTTCTTAACACTCGGCGAGTTCTCGCCACCAATCAGCAGAGCTCTCAGGAACAACATCTTCTCCCATTGGACGAGCTGATTACTGGCAACAGTGATGATGTGGCGGCCGGCAGACCTGGACAAACTGGTCCGTTTCAGTTGGACCAGTACCAGCTCTGGTCCAGGTAACTTCCAACACGTCTGACGAGGCGAATGCGGCGCTGCAGCGGCCGACCCAGACGGTCCTGAACCGCCACAGAAACATAACCTGGAATAATCTTCACACCAAAGATGAAATGAGACATAAATATTCTCATACATATAAAGAATTCGATGAGTTCTGATCTGAGACAGAGATTAAAAACTTAGTTTTGCATTTAATGACAATCAAGAGTCTAAAAAATAATTTAATCACAAAGGCCTTTAAATGATGAAAAACCTCCAGATTTCTGAATTTTAATTCCTCCAAAAACAAATGATTTTCCGTTGCTGCAGTTATGTGACCTGGTGTGATGCGTTCAGGGTTGCTGCGGCGGCGCCTGTCAGTCGTCGCTGAGGGCAAAAAGCCACTGATGCTGTTGTTCAGCCGAGTGTTCGCGCAGTCCTGCTGTACACAACTGTCACTGAAAACACTACAACTGAGTGTGTGTGTGTGCAAACGTGCATGTGTGTGACATCACACCCTGCTGGTCATGTGACCTGTGTTTAGATTGAATCCAATGGATTTCTTCTGACAGTTTGTGACAACTGTTTGTGTTTTTAATTAAAATCGTTCAGTCATCTAGGTTTGGATTAAACCATCAAAAAGTGCTCTAGTTATTTTCTGTTGAGTGAAGCAGAAACTTTAACTAATCTCAAGTTTCAGACTCTGTAATCTTGCCATAAAACCAGCAAATTATTTAAGAAATAATGGAAATAATATATAAATACAAACTGAGAATTAACTTTGGATTCAAAGAGGAACTTAAAAAACAGTTTAGATTGCAATAAAATGCATGAATCTGTTAAATTTGGCATAAAAAAAGTGAATGGAGAATTTTAATCTCCAGGGGAAAATTAATCCAAAGGAACAAACCCTCAAGTTTTCGGTGAAAGACTTAAGTAGATTTATTAGTGGAGTCTTACTGGTTTGGTGAAACAATCTTGATTTAAAACTATGAATTTTTACTTTGCGTAAAAATGACAGGGTTTTTTTTTTTGTTTTAACTGGTAAATCTTAAATGTAATATCAGCCACTGCCAATAGAGGGCAATACAAATATTGAATATTATTGTTGTAACTTTATTTGTCTGTGTTGGATCCAAATATAAGCTAAAAATGGCAGAAGAAACATATTTTTTTCAGTCGGTTTCAAAATTTGAGTCACACAAATGAACAGTCCAGGCTGAACTGTGATTAGTTAATCTGACAGAACCCCTTAATCTGGATTCAATCTGAGCACTGAGAAGTCACAGAAACTGTTAAACATTTTAGTTTCACTGACTGTTTGAGCTGATTGTTTCACCTCCTGCCAGATTTATGATGTTGTTTTCACCCATTAGTTTGATAATCCAGCCCAGTCGCTGTTTAGCAGCTTTGACGCATAAAAGGGACACAGTGATTTTATTTCCCTTTTTTGGGTTTTGATCTACTCAGAAAAAAAAAATCCAAGATGATTTTTATGATATAAGAACGAACGTAATATGATGTATTTCAGCATCTGAGATTGGGAAATGCCCTTAAATGCATCAAAACAAGATTTTATACCGTTTTCAAGCTGAAGTTGTTAAGAGGCTGGTTGATGGATTATCGGCGTTCTGCTGTGGCTACTTTACTGTTAAACTTTTATAAATAATTTAAACCTGACATCATCTGTGTGTCTGTATACTATGAAGCATCTCTGCCCTCCAAGGATCCACATAGCAGTTATAAACTGGGCTGAAACTCAGAATATAGTCCAGTCACTTCATGACAATTATCTGGAAAAAGAAAAGAAAAATTAGCTAATGCTAATTTGCAAACCGTTATGTTTTATGTCAGAGGGAAAATTTAATCCTGTGTTGTTTGGGGATAAATCAACATTTAATTGTATATTTACCCATTTTATAGTTTAAATTACAATAATTTATCCTTAAATTCTCACACACCTTGTCGATTAAATTTTTTTCAACAGTTAAAAGCAGGCCTTTTTGTTAGACCAGTAGAGTCAGTGATCATTCAATAGCGTAAAGAAATTTTTTGGCGTGCAGTTGCTGCTGTCTGCCTTTGTGGGGCAGTGTTGCTACCTGAATGCCTGGGTTGTGTGTGTGAAGTGGTTAATTTCTGCCTGCTGTGGGCTCCTAATTTAAAACGCTTAAAGGAACAGTTCAATGTTTTTAGGAACAGTTTAGCCTCATGTTTGTGCCTAAGCTTTGAGTCCTGGAGTGGAAGCGTGATCAGCAGAGCTAGAAGGGTCTTCCATGAGTTTTCATGCAGCATCCATATCATTTAATCCCAACTATAACTTGAAGCATGAAATCATCTCAACTCCACCTCTCTACAGCTGATTGCAGCCTTTCAGGTTCATCATAGCTGAGAAGGTCGTAAACACGTCTGGAAGCTAATAACTGTCTGCTGCCTTTATAAAAACTTTCATTTACATCTTTATGACTTTTTATTTGCCATACATGGACAATGATGTGACCATAGAGTATTAGCACAGACATTGGCTTGTTTGCTAAATAATATTAGCAAAACTGAAGGCAAATCTTACCATCCTTTAATGCGAAACGTGATCAGCTAGTGGTTTTTTGGGCATCAGGAGGATGAAAATGCATTACTTTAAGACGGTCTATCCACCGTGGCTAGATTAGCAGATTAGCATTGGCACAAATCTAAATGAGATTATTTATGAAAATGTTGAACTACTCCTTTAAGATAATGTTGCATTTAAAATTAAACCTGTATTTTGCTGTAAAATAAAGAATTGTAAATGTTAAGGCAACGGTGGAATAGAGATGAGGTTTAACTGAACTTATGAAGTAATTACAAAGTGAGCAGAATTTCCTTCATGCGACATTTATTTACTGTATCTTAGATACTTTCCCTCAAACGCTGAAGTAAAACCTGAACACATGAATTAAACAAAACGTGTCAGAAGGCGGTCTCATAGTCACAAGGAGTCCCTGACAGACGGGTCTGGACATGGCGTCCCCGTAAAACGCAGAGTCCTCGATCAAAACAGAAATATCAAACATCCCTGTTAGTCAAGCAATTTTCAAACTTTAGAGACATTTTTCTAGCTGTTTACGGTTAGCCTCCTTGTGTTTTTGCTTTTGCACCAAGAGGTCCACATGTCAGAGATTACATTTCTGAATTAGAATATTTTTGTTCCAACTGTTAGCATGGACTGAATGGTCCATGCTAGCTCTATTTTTCCCATTTATTAAACGATGCAGTAAAGTTTACTCAGTAAAAGGTTTTCTATCAAAGGAAACTCTGCAGATTGTATTGAGTCAATTCCTCCTGCTGAACAAGCATGTAGTGACAGTGGGAAGAAAAACCCCGTTCAGGATTGCAGTTATTTCTGTACTTCCTGGAGTGCGCGACAACAAAACCCAATAAACTTAGAAAATCCTGATTTGATTTCAGGGAGGAAAACACTTTATGACAGGAACTCATTACAAGATCGAATGTCTTCATTTCTCATGTTAGCTGCATTCACCCTCTTGTCTTCATCCACCCAGTCTGTTTCTGTTAAATATCATGCATAGCATCCAACATAAGCCTTAACTGAGCGTATTGTTATCCTGTAACCACATTTAAAAGAATAAAGGGAAAATAAACCAACAGAACAAATGGAAAACGTGTACTGTAGCTGTTAATTTTTTAGTCCTTCTGTTGATCATTTTCTGCTGTTTTTTCTTAATATTTCTAATCTGATGTCTGAACGCAGTAAAGGTGTCGACATGAAGACATCGAGTTGGAAAACCGTGTTGTTTCCATAAGGATGAGGAGTAGTCATGTATAGTTAGTGAAGAGTCTCAGACATCTCCTGTCTTTTAGAAATGTTTTTTATTGTATGTGATTTACCAGAAAAGACAAATGTCAACATGACAATTTGAAAAGCAGTTTGTGAATAAATTAAGTTTACTGAGAATTATTTTACAAGGAAAGTGGAAAAATGGTGTCCTGTGTTTTATTTTCCTCTCCCATTTTGCTGATATGCTGGGTTTGGTTTCTTCCATCTGGGTTCTGTTCATCACAGTCCAATGTCTCCACTCTGGTCTCATCAGTTCAGAAGACATTGTCCCAGAAGTCTTTTGCAGTTTTGATACACTTTGTCCTGCTGCCATCTTGTTTGTAGAGAGAAGAGGCTTTCTTCAACTATTTCAAGCAGTCATACAAGTTATTTGACCTTTAGCCTTTATCCTGCTAACTGAGACGTGCAGAGATGGACCCTTTCCAGGTTGATGAACAGCAACGGTTGCTGCTCTGACCCTAGTTTGTGTCAGGAGGTCATCAAATTTTTGATGTGTCATGTTAAAACATGACAGTGAAATTATTTATAAACAAAAACAAAGATCATGCATGAAGAACTTCTTTGGTTCACTAAATTAGAATAAAAACACTAACATTATCAAACTGCCCTAGAAGAACAAAGGACTTAAACGGCTCATAGACCTGCTATCAACAGATGCTTCGCTGACGGTTGGTTTACAGACATAGACAAAAATATCTAAAAGTATAAATATGACTGGATCTACATTTAAATTTAGAATGCATTTTGTATTTTATTTAGTGTTTAGTTAATATACTATGTGACATTTTATAGTGACTCTTTATTTTTATAAAAACAACAACTTTAAAGCTGTTAGAAATCAAAGTGCAATGGGGAAAACTTCCTGGTTCCTCCAGCGGATACGTTATCTGTTGAGATGTGTCACTCTGTTCAATTTTTCTCAGCTGGGCTGCTCTCTGCGGCGGCGTTGCTGTTCTCTGAGGTGATGGCCGGGGCAGAGGTGACATTGATGGGGACGATCCGTTCCTTCCCGTCGCTTGGCGGTTTCTCTCGGGGCGCCTGGATCTGCAGCCGCCCCCCCACCAGCGAGCAGCTGACAGTCTCTGGGTTGACGCAGTCCGGAAGGTCAAACTCCTGCCTGAACTCCTGACACCTGTAGGAATACGAGCCCTTCGCGTCCTCCTGCTTCTTCTCCATTCTGCCGCTCACCCGCAGCTTCCTGCCGACCTGTTTGACGGACAGTTCCTGCGGGGCAAACTCAGCCGTGTCCAGACTCAGTGCGAAGGCGTCACCGTCCTTCCCCAGCTCCTGGAAGGCGATGGGCCTGAAAGCCCCCGCAGAGCAGGAAGTCTGATCAATCTCCTCGAAGATCTTCTGGTGCAGCCGCTCCATGTACTCCATACTCTGCCTCATCTCCTGCATGTGGCGGATCATCTCCTGCTCCATTTGGTAGAAGAGCGGCCGGGTCTCGGGCCACAGGCTGCGGATGGGCCAGTGCAGCTCCAGGAAGGGCCTCATGGCGGCCGGAGTCGCCTGGAAGACGCTGGGACACAACATCCTGTTAGTCTGTTGGACGCTGAGAGGATCTCTGATCTGCTACTGCTTTGTCTGAGAGATTTCTGTCCCTGGTTGCATTTATATCCCAACACGCCTCGGCAGGAAGGTTCCAGATGCATTCCTCAGTGTGTGTGTGTGTGAGTGTGTTCAGCTGCTTAATACAGACTATGACTGAATCCTGGAGCAGAAATAGAACAAAGCTGAGACGGTCGGCATGTGGCACATGTTTGCAGAGCTTTCTTTATGAGGTTCATCACTCACAGAGGAACACACCCCAACCCAAACGCCATTCTGACTCCTGACTCCTAAATCAGCTTGGGACTCTCAACCAGAACCAGAGAAAATGTCCCGAAGAACTCCAAACCGGACGACTGCCCTCAAAATCTGGGCTACATAAGTGTAAAATACTCACTGTGTCCTGTTTCCACTCACTTCTGAGGAAAACAGCAAGTCTGTTGGTTAACTTTTTGATTCAGAAAACCTCATAAGATATTATCTAGATCTCTCTGGGAATGCTTGAAACCTTGTCATCAGATGTTTGAATGTCTTAATCTAAAGATGTTTGATTTTTCCCATCAGCTCAAGTGAATGTCATGGCTGATCTGGTTGCTTTGGTCGCCTTATATCGCTTTTACTTAGTTGAGTTCACTGTAAAAACCGTAATAGGATATTGCACAGTCAACTGCACAAAGAGACAAGAATGCAAACTGAACTTGTCAATGTATTGTAAACCTTTGATGAAGAGAGAAGACGGCAATAGCTAGTAGCCATCAGTCGTAATGACTGGCAGCCCTCGATGTATTCATAGATAAATAGGTTATAATGATGTTCATTCAGTCAGACTGACACTAGCCACATGCATTCCAGGCAGATTGTAGTAAGGAATTGATTAATGCCTGGTTTCAAAGTTAGTGAACTGGACTTATTATTTTGTGTCCATTGTTGGACACATCACAGTTTCAATCGAACCGTTATAGAGAGGATTTCTGTCGGCTAATGTGTCTCTCAGGTTCTGATAATGGGCCGACAATCCGCGACATCAGATTGTGCAGCGCGCGCTGGGCATTACACTAAGGAAATAAGGAAGGAAGGGTCAGTGGAGAACACCAGAGTTGAGCCTTTTTTCATTGAGTGTCATCAACAGTAAGAGAAAAAGGCAGGAAGAAACGATATAGATGATAATTGAAATGATGTCGGTAGTTTTAATTTATTGTTTATTGCGACAAGCCTATATATATAAATATGTTTATATGATACTACCACTACCATGCTTGACAGCTGGAACTGGTACTTTGTGAGGCTTTCAAACATTATTCCTGTGATCAAAGAGCAAAATGTGTTTGTCTGAGAATCAAACCTTTCTCCAGAAGACATGTGATTTGTCCAGGTGACATGTAACATCGCAGTAATATATTAATGTGCAGACAGGTAATCTCTGAAGTGTTAAACAACCTCCCACTTTAACCTCTGAGTTTATTTCCTGTTGTCATTTCTATTTTCACCAGCGGCCTTAGAGCTCCCGCCTTTGGCGTCACTGGCCAATGGCATTAGTTCCCTGTCTACCATTAGCCAATCAGGTGATTGCTGTGAGTGGAACGTGAATGACTGTGCCGTGGTGTTGCTAATTCAGGTCTGGAAGCATTGTAAGGTTTTTAAATGGGACCTGGTGACACAGATGCAGTCAGACATTTCTCAGGCGGCATGACTAAACTTTCTTCAGGGAAGTAGTGGAAGAAAGAATGGTGTCGGCCACCCAAGAGCAGCAGAACAGGACCATGGAAATGGTGACATGGTGTGGAGACTGCAGCAGTGGGGGATTAGCTCAAATGGTAGAGCGCTCGCTTAGCATGCGAGAGGTAGCGGGATCGATGCCCGCATCCTCCAAACTTTCCGATTTTCTTTCTTCTCCTGTTTTGTTTTAAAGTGCAAGATTAACTCCAAATAACTTAAATGATTTGGAGTTCATCTCTGCTTTTTCCCTTCATTGGGCTGAAGGCTGAATGTATAAACCCAAGGAGTTGTTCTGGTTATGGCAACCTCTTGTCCAATTTCTGAGAGTTCTTGATCGCAAAGATTTTAGCTTTCTCTATTAGATTATAATATTATCTTTTTATTCATATTACAACAAGAAGAATTTCTCTTTAATTTATTTCACAATCAATAAACCGTTTGTTCCCAAATTAAATGCGACCAATAACAGCCCTTAATGTTATGAACAGACATAATGAGTAATCAGGTTATTTTCAGTGCCACAGCCAGAGGGCGCTACCAATTCACATACATCAGTCCTGGAATCAGTTCACATCCCAGTCAGACTCGGCTTGTTTCCGCTTTGAGTTACAGTGACAACGAGAAAACACAAGGTTGTATTTAAGACGCAAATAAAGCAACTCAATGAACATTGACGTCTTCCAAATATAGTGGGCGTTTAAGTTTTCAAAGACTTTAAATGCATTCTGAATTAAGAAGACGGCGGCTTCTACATATTCGTCTCTACCACTTAAATCTAACGCCGTGCAGAAAAGTTTGCAGCCTTCATTTTCTCCGGATCAGCTTCTTCAGCCTGAAACTCCCGGGGGGACGCGGGTGGTAAATAAAGGAGCCGTCCCTGTGATATTTCCATGCAGTCACTTCAGTATTCAGCCTGAAAGAGTGAGTTTATGGCAAGAAGAGAGCAGAACGCCTGATCTGCTGTAAACATCGTCCTGCTTCACAACAAGCAGTCAAAACTAATAAAACGAAACAACACAGAGACCTAAGGAAACACGGACATATTTTTCTAAAAGCAACAACTCTGAACCTGAACATTCAACTGAACTCTGCACCGGTTCTGTCAGGCTTCGGGCCTGCTGTGCTTCGTCATGGAAGCAAAAAGCCCGGACCGTAACCCCTGACCTGTTCTGACACTAACAACAAACACACATAATGAACTTGGAAATAAGTGCAAAATAAAGTAAAAACATTGTCCGTTAGAATGAATTCAAATGTTTAGATATGTAAATAGCACATTTTACTAGAAAAATGTTTGTGAATATTGCCTGCTACCATAAGCTAATGTTAGTTAGCTTCAGGTTAATTGGTCTTTCCAAATTCTCCCTCGGTGTGAATGTGTGTGTGCATGGTTGTTTGTCCTGTTTGTTTCTGTGTTGCCCTGCGACAGACTGGCGACCTGTCCAGGATGTACCCCGCCTCTCACCCGGAACCTAGCTGGAAAGGCACAGGCACCTCCCGACCCCACTTGAGATAAGCGTGACCAGAAAATGGTTGGATTTCACACAAAATGTCACTAAATCTTCTAAAATCTTTCAGAAAATTGTAAAAGTGCCTTGAATCATATCGAATTGTATAGCCTGCCAAATGTCATGATACATATTGGATCGTGATCAGAATATCGTATATTGCATCATGAGATTACTCCTAATGACTATACTGGCAAAAACAACTTGCTAAAACAATTGAGTTTCAACATTCAATGGCGCCTCTACATGATTGGTGACGTAGTTGCAAAGTGACGTTTTTGAGTCGCTTAGCATCTGAGGATTGAAATCTAGTACTGCTCACTCTCTCTACTGTTTGGCTTGTTTTTGTCCTTTTCGGTTTAGTTGATGATTGTTTGACTTACACCATATGACCACGTGATTTATCTCATTTCTGTAGTTTGTCTTGTTGACAAGCTCCACAACAGTTTATCTGACAATGTGACACAGAGGTTTCTGCTGCACCGGTGCCACTGGAAGTAAAGCAGCATCACAGGATGATTCCACCACTACCATGCTTCACAGCTGGTACTGGTACTTTGTGAGGCTTTCAAACATTATTCCTGTGATCAAAGAGCAAAATGCGTTTGTCTGAGAATCAAACCTTTCTCCAGAAGACATGTGATTTGTCCAGGTGACATGTAACATCTCAGTAATATATTAATGTGCAGACAGGTAATCTCTGAAGTGTTAAACAACCTCCCACTTTAACCTCTGAGTTTATTTCCTGTTGTCATTTCTATTTTCACCAGCGGCCTTAGAGCTCCCGCCTTTGGCGTCACTGGCCAATGGCATTAGTTCCGTGTCTACCATCAGCCAATCAGGTGATTGCTGTGAGTGGAAAGTGAATGACTGTGCCGTGTTGCTAATTCAGGTCTGGAAGCATTGTAAGGTTTTTAAATGGGACCTGGTGACACAGATGCAGTCAGACATTTCTCAGGCGGTATGACTAAACTTTCTTGAGGAAGTAGTAGAAGAAAGAATGGTGTCGGCCACCCAAGAGCAGCAGAACAGGACCATGGAAATGGTGACATGGTGTGGAGACTGCAGCAGTGGGGGATTAGCTCAAATGGTAGAGCGCTCGCTTAGCATGCGAGAGGTAGCGGGATCGATGCCCGCATCCTCCAAACTTTTCGATTTTCTTTCTTCTCCAATTTTGTTTTAAAGTGAATGGTTAACTCCAAATAACTTAAATGATTTGGAGCTCATCTCTGCTTTTTAACTACATTGGGCTGAAGCTGAATGTATAAACCCAAGGAGTTGTTCTGGTTATGGCAACCTCTTGTCCAATTTCTGAGAGTTCTTGATCGCAAAGATTTTAGCTTTTCCTATTAGATTATAATACTATCTTTTATTCATATTACAACAAGAAGAATTTCTCTTTAATTTATTTCACAATCAATAAACCGTTTGTTCCCAAATTAAATGTGACCAATAACAGCCCTTAATGTTATGAACAGACATAATGAGTAATCAGGTTATTTTCAGTGCCACAGCCAGAGGGCGCTACCAATTCACATACATCAGTCCTGGAATCAGTTCACATCCCAGTCAGACTCACCTTGTTTCCGCTTTGAGTTACAGTGACAACGAGAAAACACAAGGTTGTATTTAAGACGCAAATAAAGCAACTCAATGAACATTGACGTCTTCCAAATATTATGGGCATTTAAGTTTTCAAAGATTTTAAATGCATTCTGAATTAAGAAGACGGCGGCTTCTACATATTCGTCTCTACCAGTTAAATCTAACGCCGCGCAGAAAAGTTTGCAGCCTTCATTTTCTCCGGATCAGCTTCTTCAGCCAGAAACTCCCGGGGGGACGCGGGTGGTAAATAAAAGAGCCGTTCCTGTGATATTTCCATACA